ACAGAATGACCTCCATAAAAGTAAGCAAGGACTCTGGAAAAAGGCATTTGAAGGAGGAAGTGAAAGAGTTCCATAAAATAGTGACTGTAATTGATGGAGTGGATAGGAATCAATTGTTCATTGCCCTTCACATTATAAAAGCCAGAAGGTATTAAATGAAGCTAGTGCATGTTAATAATCAACAAAAGGAGATGTTTCTTCACCTGACAAGTTGTAGAAGTCCTTGTTACTGGATGTTCTACATGTTAAAATTTTGAATGAGTTAAAAAGGAGTCTGGACAAGTTCATATATAAGAAGTCCATTGTTGGTAACTAAGTGTGCAGAATTCACATTCAGCTCAGAAAGCTCTTTATGAAAAAACAAGATTCTGGGGAAAGACAATCTATACTCGGCCTTTGGTCCATATTAAAAGCCCACTTTCAGGTACAAGATACAGAACCCAAAGTAGCATTGGTTTGACCCACAAAGGTTGCTTTTATGTTAATATATCTTATATTTTTATTCTAACCCAAGCCTTTTAATGAATTTTAGCTAGCTGACAACCCCTTACTTACTCACGGGCATTATATGCACTTCCCAACATTTCATTGATACATTAAATATATCACTTTGTTTAATAGCATAGATGACGGCTTAGGACTTACTGTCTGTATGATAGTTATATTCACAAATTATGACCTGGTCTAGCCAGTCCTGTTGGAACAACTTCCCAGAACAATACTACAGAAATGCAGAAGGCGGTAGCATATGTGGATCACAGAACAGTTGGGATTAGGAAATTTTTGATTCATCAGATTAAGTAATTTTTTTCTATAGTCATAATGCTACTGTTCTGACCCATTTTTACTTTGATTTTAGTATCTTTTTATTCCACTTTTCATTACCATCATCTTAAAAAGATTTTAAACCTGCCCTGCAAAGTTTTCCCTGAGACCATATTCTTTAGAGAAATAAGCCACAATACTGGAAATAGAGAGGTTTTTTAATTCTCATTTTAGCTTTTCAACTGATTCGCATGACTTTAAACAAATCACGTAAATAGCTGTGCTGTCTCTAAATTGAAGATAACAGTAGCCTGATAGGAATGCTTTTAAAATATGTAAAATTCTATGAAGACTTAAATTATGATTTATTAGTGTTTTTGAAATACTGCTTTAGAGATGGAAAAGCCATGCTAATGAGTCTTGGGTGCGTAGAAGTAGTTACGTTTTGCAGTTGGCTCGAAGTGATCTCTCATACACACCAGAATACATAGGATGGAAGTGTAGTCTATGTGCAGATGGGGTTTTTTCTTTCTGCATATTTCTCACGCTGTTTTGTGCCCCCCTCTGACCTACCTGCCGGCAGGTGATGCTGTGGTGTAGCCTGGGGTGCGGCCCCCCTAAACTCAACTGTGAGAATGCTCTGAGTTACTTCTCTGCAGGAATTGTGCAGCCAGGAGGATGAAGGTGATGCATGCCTAGGTATTGTTCAGACATATATTTGAGATGTTGCCAAATCGTGCAGTGACATCTGGGATCTGAGAAGCTCTGTATTTTTACAGGTGAGACATACGCTACAGGGAGATATAAATAACAGATGATTCAAACAGTCCCTGCCCTAAAGAGCTTCTGAGTGTTGCAAGTTGAATGGAAACAAGACATTGCTCTGAGATAGGCAAAAGTTACTTCCTTTTATTACATGGTTCTAGCAAATACGAGATATTTTCTGTGGAAGCCTAAAGTCAGAGAACTTGTGTAGCAAAATGTGGGTTTTTTTCAGTTTCTAGGAATGAAGTCACAAATATTTATAGCATTATCATCTAAGAATCCCAAGTAGCAATTACAAATTACAAAGAGGGGGAAGATACTCCTCATTTTATTGAGTAAATGGAGGCATAATGAATTAAAGGGACTTTCCCTGAATCACAAAAAACTTAATGTGGAGCTAGAAATTGAGCCCAGACCTCCTGATGTTTGGTTCACTGTTTCAGTCATATGGCCATCCTTTTCCAAGTATCAAATATGTATACAAGGCTCTCCAGTTTAGTCTTCACATTGGTTTCCAATGCTACAATTCAGTTCCTCTGAACTTTGCCCTTTCACTCGTTTTAGCAAAAAGGCAAACATTTGCCCATTTGTCTCAATAGTAAGTAGAAACTGCTTTCTATACAGATGACGATTTCCCCTCCATTCACATGCTTCTCATCCTAGTATTAGAAGGCCAGCCTGTGTCAGCAAGGGCCTGTTTAAATTAGAAACCAAATAATGTTTCAGGGATGCTTTGGGCTGTCTTGTGGAGAGGGTTCTTCTCAACCCTTGCCAGTTACTACTTGGTGGTCCTGCCAATCCTTGCTGAGTTTCAAAACAAAAGTTGCTCAAGCTCTAACAGCGCTGTTAGCCCAGCATACGCAGCTGGACAGCTGGTGAGCTGGGACGAAGCAAGGCCCAGTGCTTAACCAGGCACAATTTGCCAAACCATGTAAAGGGACAGGGGAGTGGCACTGTCCTAATTGTTAACATTCCTCCTCTGCAAGACTTCTCCTGATATTTATTTAATAAGCCCAGGCTCATAAAATCTAAATGATTTAAGCAATCAAGTGGTAGCTGATGTGTATATGGAGATGACACGCAGCCAGGCTAAGTGAAGGGTGAAATGCTTAATTTTCTAACTTTGCAAAGCTTTATCTGGCACTTGCAGTTGAAATAATACCTCAGGCAGCCATGCCCAAGAGCAGAATATACATTGCAAGTACCTCAGGAGCTGCACTTCAGGCCAGGTTTGCACAGCCACAGCTCCTATTAAGCGCGCATGACCACTGTGCTGGCATGGTCTTCTCAGCCAGTGTGGAGAAGTTTCTGTTGCTGCCAGTGAGTAATATTCGTGCACTCCAGCCTGATGTCTCCTGCCAGTGGCTACAAAAATCAGGAATGTACCAGCATTTCCACATCCCAGCAACAGATGTTTGTAAATAGGCACGCCTTCACATGTAGAAAGGAGTGAGCATCTAGAGACTGATGTGCGTGGAGGTTTGTTCTTTCTTTTCTGTGGAGCTGTTGCTGAGTATTTTAGCATTATACGGGGAAAAAAAGCATCTTGCATTCATTAGCATTTCATTCGGAATTATTTCCAACTTGTAGTGGAGCAGGTGACTGGATGTTAAACTTTCACTGATGGGATGAAGAAGTCTAAGGTTCAAACCAGAAATGGGACTGCTTGGAGTAGACGTGGGACAAGGGAGGAAAAATGAATTTTGATGAACCTGATCTTCAGCAAAAGTCAGGCACTGGGAGATGGCTTTTGTTAAAAAGAAAGAACACCAAAATGTGTGATGTTCCTATACTTTCTCAAGAAAAATAAAAGCAGCATTATCTCTGTTTCAGCTTGTCTTTAAAATACACAAAGGAAAGGCAGTGCAGAAAAGGACAGTAATTTTGCCGATTGTACTTTCTATGTGCTCTCGTTAATGGTCTTTTCTTGTGAGTGTTCATTTAGCATGTTTGATTCGAAGAGATCCGGTCTGCATAGGTTTAGAGTAACTTTGTTAATGTTCTTTTGATAACTTCTGGTTATCAGCGTAAGGTTTATTGGCCATAACTGCATTGTGAGCCGAGTAAATCGGTTGTTAGTGCATTTGGAAACAGTTCAGCCTGATTATGTGGATCTAAGCAGCAATTTTACAACTTTGTCTGTAGTGCCATCACAGAAATTGAGCGAGCAAGCAGGCAGGCACCCTGCACATACCTCTCTCTTAGGATGGTGATTTACTGCCTCTATCTGCTGCCTTTTACAGCTGTGTGCTGGCTAATGTCCCTGCCTTGCTGGTGAGCTTGTTTCAGTCCTGTGATGCTACATCTCCTTAGCATGGAATCTGAATCTGACTTTGCCACCAGACTGAAAAGCGGACTGCAGCTTTTCTGAAGCTCTTCCCCCATCTTCCCTCGTGGTTACCTTGGGCATAGAAAAACAAACTGGTAGGGGTTATAGTATGGGGACACAGATGCTTTCCTTTTGACTAGTCTGTGTTCTTCGACCACTCTCCAAGGCTTCTCTTGTGTTTTGTTTCAACTTGGCCTGATGGCTGAAAGCTTTACTGTACTGTAAATTATTACTTTTGACAGTTATGATAATGATATTCCACCCCCCCCCCCATAGTATCCTCTGACCTGAGGTATCAGAATGCCCAAAGATATGCCTAAAATGTCGCAAATGAATGCAAATCACATGTAGTTACAAATTAGTTCAGATAAACAATGTAAGCAGTGTACAGTATCTCCAGGAGAAATGACAAGCACCACTGATTAGAGTATTTACATTGAGAGGGATTTCTGAGTTAGGCTCAATACATAATTTCTGATTATGGAGTCAGTGCATTAAAATAGTATACAGTAACAACTTGCCATTTTTCTGTAAGCTACCAAGATGCATATATAGATGAATTCAACTAACAAATCAACAAAATATTGGCTACTGGGGTGGAGCAGTGTGAGGTGAATGTGGAAAGTGGGAAGAGGACAAGCTACAAGAGTTAAGCATCTAAACAAGGATACCCTAAAGAGCATCTGGCTACGGTGAGTCCAGTGGAGGCTGAACAGTTGATTCTGTTTTGCTTCAGAACAAAAGGAAAAAGGAACCATGTGGCATCCTGGTTGATACTAGCTTACTCTACTTGGTGTGTGAGAGGCAGCGATAGAGCTCTGAAACCATCATCTCCTTTGTTTTCTCACTACTTCATATGTAAGCAGTATAAAAGTATTATAGAATAGTTTGGGTTGGAAGGGACCTTCAGAGGTCATCTAGTCCAACCCCCTGCAGTGAGCAGGGACATCTTCAACCAGATCGCATTGCTCAGAGCCCCGTCCAATATGAATGTTTCCAGGGATGGAGCATCTACCACCTCTCTGGGCAACCTGTGCCAGTGTTTCACCACCCTCATAATAAAAAACGGTCTTCCCTGTATCTAGTCTGAATATCATCTTTAATCTTGGCTGAAGATTCACACGTTAATGGTTTTTTTCAGGTGGAACTTGCAGAAATTTGCACAAAGAGTGAACGTTACATTGGCACAGAAGGTGGAGGAATGGACCAGTCAATCTCTTTTCTGGCAGAAGAAGGAACTGTATGTGGATCTTTGTAATCTAAACTAACAATGTAATATTAAGTTACATAAACAAAAATATCTTCATATGTATCTTGCAGAAAGACAAGAAACCGGAATACCATAGTAAGCAGTATAAGCATCATTGGTATACAAATGAAACAGGAATTATATGTATAAAATTGTGTATAATCGAGTGTGACAAGTTTGAAGGAATAAGATGATGAAAATGAGAAATGGCAAGAAGGAGGAAAGAAAAGATGTGGGGAAAGAGGTACTCTAGAAGAGCACAAGGTTCCACACTATTTGGCTAATTCATCGCTGAACTTGGAATGTTTCCCATATAATGAAATCTGAATGGTCGGTATGCCTTGTTTCAGTGCAAATGGGATAATTATTACAAAAATGCTTTCTTGAAACTTCTTATAACCAAGCTGTTCTAGGAAGTTTTGCCAGGTCCAGTTACAAAGACAATGGAGACTTTTTTTTTTTCTTCCCAGTTTTGCTAATTCCAGACAATTCTGTGGCTGGATTCTGATGTAGAAGGCATTTAGCTGTCTTAAACATGGCGACAGAAGGTGGGCTAGCAATGATATACAGGACCTGCCAAGTTATGCACAAGCGCTTGCAGTGGAATTTACAGTGAAGTTCATCTATTGTCCCAGAAGGTGCACAGGACTGCAAATGTTCAAACCTAAAACCTGTCAAAATACTTTTATTTAAATTAATGTGACATTTTATGACAACCTTTACTTTGCTTATGATTGTGATACTGTATTTCTACAGCTTTTGTTCCTTAATGCCCTATCTTGGATAAGCTTATACAGAAAATACACTTATTTCCTAGAATTACACCAAACATTGTATTCCATCATGAGACGTCTATTTTCAATTTCACATCACCTGTACCTACTCTACACTTTTCCTTCATGCTTGTACTGTTAAACACACAGCTACATGAATGCTGAAGTAAGCAGCATCTTCTCCTGGCATACACGCAGACGATCATGTAAGCAGAGGCTTTTCTGACATACAGAGATAGTGATTGAAAAGGCAAATAAAACGTTAAAAAATATTTGAAAAGAAATTGCAAGCAGACCAGAAAATACCCTTGCTTCAGTGTACTTGCAGCTGAATGCAGTTCTGGCCTCACATCTCAAAAAAAACCATACTAGAATGAGAAAAGTATAGTAAAGGACACTGAGGTTGGTCAAAGCTATTTTTTACATGAGCATTGACTGAATAATTTAAAACATTTTGGCTAGGAAAACAAGTATGTTTGAGGGTGATATTTTGAAGCTCTGTAAAACCCCTGAATGGGAAAGAGAAGGTAAATTGAGAATTCAGTGTTTTTCGTAACTGAAGAACTAATAGAAACACAATGACATTAGTGAGCAGCTTGTTAAAAACAAACAAGGAAGTTTGGGGTTTTTTTTCCAAAACATTCATTGTTAAATTGAGAAATACCGTGCATTGTGGAAGGCAAAAGTTTAAAAAGGATCCCAAAAAAGACCTTCTTGGATACACTGATAGAGTATTAGCCTATTTGTAGCTATTAAACATACTAGTCTGATGTGTCTTCCAGTGTGAGTATAACCACTGTAATCTTTGCTTATGGGAAGCTGAAAAAAATATACCTGAAAAAAAGATTGCTTTGTATAGGTCCTATTTTCATATTCCCTCTAAATATCCATTTATGGCTACTGTCAGAAACAGGACAGCTTAGTGGTACATGCTGATCTAATGTAGCAGCTCTTAAAGGGTATATTTAAATGTAAGCAAGTTTGTCTGTCGTGATAGTAATTTTGTGACGTAGTCCAGAATCTCAATGGCAGGGAGTAGCACACATGCTGTACATAATGTACAAGCAGATTTGTCGTTGTTTATTTAGCACTCTAGCTGCTCAAGGAACTCTCTGGGGGTGAACAATGCCAAAACCAGTAAGACGTCCCCGCTTGCAGAGTTACAGTCTATTCTAAGAAGCCAAAGCAGGGCACATGATTTACAACTTACCCCAGTGAAAAACCAGATGTGAATTTAATCTCTTGATTACATTACATCCTGAATTATTTAATTAATGGATGCCTAGCTTATTCCATGAAAAGGTCACAAAATGTTGGGAACATCTTATGCAGCCTGTGTAAGTCATCTGTGAGGCAAGACAGTCTCATGTCAGGAGGAAGGAGACAGTAACTACATTTTATATATGTTTTATTTAATTTCTGTGTTTGATTGTGTATCTGTAACATGATCACTGTCTCCAGTCAGTCCTAAGATTTTGGTGCTATTCCATACCTCAGTGAACTAATCTTGATTTAGTGGAAAATCAGAAACTAAGGGGGAGATGGACATTGGTGAAGGGGAAGGGAATGTGAAGCCCCTTGTTTCTAGCGGCATGCACATTAACTTCAGCCAGGCCTGGTACTTTTCTGGAGATCAAAGAAAAACTGTTGTCTTAAACAGGCAAGAAAAATAGGTCGGGTGGGGTTCTGTGAAATGCTGAAAAAACCCAAAGACTTAATGGAAACATTTTAAAATCCAGCTACAAGGGAAAGGTTTGAAATGTATGTGTAACTTGGCCAATGAGGTTAAACCTCTTTTCTCACTGTTTCATGTCAGTTTTCTTTCCTTAGCTGTCCCTGGATTTTCAAGAGAAAAAACATGCAAATTTGCATTTGATTTATAGAACTAAGTGCACTGTTAGCTAGTAGTAAATTAAAACTAACCATTCATTTTTCTTTCAATAGGCCAAGTTGATAGAGTTCAGTCCTCTGAGGGCAACTGATGTTAGACTTCCAAGTGGAGCAGCGTTTGTTATTGCTAACAGTTGTGTTGAAATGAATAAAGCAGCGACTTCTCATTACAATATTAGGGTAATGGAGTGTCGTCTGGCTACAAAGGTAACGTATGGCTTATGTCAAACTCTAATGAAACCTTCATCTAAATATGTGCTTTTTTCCCTCCACTGCTGACCAATCGTGTCTTTGACACCTGGCTAGGTGCTACTTTAAGTAGCATTTTTCTTTCCAGAACCAGACACCTCCACCTCTGCAGAAACAGAACTCCTGCTGAGTTTAATGAAAGTACAAGGACTGTGCCCTTATATAGAAGATTATGTGATTTAGTTCTATTCAATTTAATTTGTATTATATTTCAGTGGAGGAAATAAGTCTATTTTTCACGAAAAAAATATTCTCAGTTAATAAGATAGACTGTTTCTAATTAAAGCTGAATAATGACAAATAATGGAAAGCAACCAGTGTGGTCACATGCTTATATGGATATATTGTAATAGATGTGTATTTTCTAGGATTTAGAGGACATCAAAGCTACTAGTTGGAGGCCTGGAAGTAATATTGGAAATTCTGAATAGCAGCATGTATGTTAGTGTGAGGTTTAAAAACAGGCTTGAATCAAACCCCAACATTTAGGTTGTGCTGCTGGTTTATAGCTTGCAATTATCTCTAAAATGTATGGAATTTGAACATGAAGAAAATCTAAGTTCCACTTTTAATTCCAGATTTTGTAGACCATACGTTTAGGTATCTGTAGATGTAGGGTTTAGGTTGAGTTTCTTATAGGAATACAGTTGTTTTTTCTTCGATTAGATTAAGTGAGGAGTGAGCATAAAATTTGCTGCAGTTATACCCAATGTGATGTGCAGTGTGAAAGAACAGAATTTGGGTCACAAAATCTAGATGAAAGTTTTAAAAACTGCAGTGTGGAACTCCTTGCCACAAAACATTTGTCCAAAACCTGAGCAATACTCAAAAGTACTTCAAGCATCTGTTGGCATCATAATTCTGTGAAAAATTACCATAGTTAATGCCAAAAAAAAATACAGTTGAAGAGATGATCAGATACTGACAAAATGAAATATAAAATGTTGTGCTGAGATTTTTTTTGAGGAGGGAAGCTAAACTTCAGGTGACTTTTTAAATGGGCTTTAAACTCCAGTATAAAGAACATAGCTGCATTTTAGGTGTATAAAAGGTATGGTAAAAATAAGAGCACCAATGACCACAGTTGAAGCTGTTGTCACTGAAGTTAAAAAGATTCTTAGGCCATTAAGAAAATCAAGATAAGGACCTCTCTGTGTGCTGGTCCTGGTATAACTGATAAGCCTCTAATTTAGGATAGTACATTGACTAGGTATGTATTTTAGGAAGAGCTACTTTTGGAAATTTTTTTGCATAAGAAACAGAGAGCCTTCACAGATAATCTATTCTAAAAGGCAAACTACAACAAAGTGCATGAGGTTTTAAGACCTTTTGAAGTGTTGTTCCATATACCAGATTTTGTGAATTGAATCACAATTTTCTAAATGTAAATTATTGGTCCTGTGCAGTAAACTGAAAAGGCGGTAAGAAAAGATGATTTTTTTCACATTCCTGTTATCTATGATGCAATCTCTAAAAAGGTACCTTTAGCAGATGCATGATTTTAAGGAGACTAACAACATACACCTGTCTATTTTTAAACATATGCTAGCCAGATGGAAAGCTGCACACACTATAAAAATGCATTGAGCCAGGAAAAGACTTTCTTTAGGAACAGGTCACAGTGGGGTGAAGGAGGGTAGGTATGTAAGTGGAAGCAGGGAAGTCTTTTAAGCACCATTAAGCTAATGGAACTATGAAATGACATGCTGGGCCTCGCAGTAATGCTTGGAAAGAAATTCTCATTGGTAAGTGCCTTAGGATAGGCTTTTTCCTTCCCTTTCTGCTTTAGGTCATTCTAGAATTTCATACCGTTTGAAGAAAGCTCCATGTAAGTAAAGATGCTAACCCAACATATCCCTGCTGGCATTAGTGTAGAACATTTTGATGTCAGTCTGTCTTACAGCAAGTGAGCTCTTGGTCACCCTCACAGAATTATTTTTCTCAGGTTCTGTTCCTTTCCCTTCCCTTCTGGACAGTCATTCGTTTGCTTGGGTTTTTGTTTTTTCCTTTCTCTATTCTTGTTGTAGCCTCCGAGTGCTTTCCTGTACCGCATTAAACAGTATGTTTAAAGACACTCATGTTCTGCAGAACACTCGGCAATTCCAAAGGAAATGAACTTGTACTTTATACTTCAGAAAAGTCGCACAGTAGGTGCTGCAGGATGAATATGAGCATTAGTGAATGCTGTGATCTCCCCTGCTTCACCATGTGTGTGGTTCACTTCACTGTCAGCTACAGAGTGGTGCCAAGAATGTCTGCAATAGGAGTGCCATATAGTTAATCAGCTAAGTTTGTTAAACATGGAAAGATGCTCAGATTCTGCTCTACATTACAGATATGTATAGTGTGAGAAAGTGATGCTGCTATATAAGGGCTAATTATTTCTGTACTTAACTCCTAGTTAGACTTTGTTTTACTTATATTTGTCCCATCATTTACTAAGTATGTTCTCCTTTCAGTTACTTACAGTTCTCCAGTGTGCCTGTGTTGAACAATAAAGGACAATAAAGCCTACAGATGCTATGTCTTGGCAGTTAAGAGCCAGCTGGATGATGTCCACATCTTTAATCCACCTAGTCAGAGATCATCAAGAAAATATCCAACTGTGGGATCAGTGTTGGGATTACTTTTGTAGATTTAATAGATGGGTTTTTTTCCCATTTCTGTTCTGTGTCCATTACCATTTAAGCTGCTGCAGCTAGATTATTTTAAAAAAACATTTCTGTTTGCCCATAACATTTTTTCTCAGTGCTGTTAGAACTGAAACTCTGCTATAAGCAGTATAGACCTTTCCAATAAAGCCCTGCCCACTTGTCTGACAGGGTCAGTTTCTGTTTGGAACATTTGACCTGTAAAGCCCCAGCATAGTTAGCTCATCTAAAATACAGCATCTCCCCCAAAGCACAGAAATGGGAACAGATGTGACAATAGATGACATATTTCTACAAGGGATTATTTATTTTAAAAGGAAGTAGAAAAATTTTTGTTGCTTTATAGAACATTATGTTTTGTAAATTCTTAGTTCTGTTTAACTTCTGGTAATAAAGTCTAGGGGATGCTGAACGTTAGGATTAAAGTATGAGGAAAAAAAAATTTCCATTCATTTAGCACCTCGAAGCAGATTTAAGAACTTGTCACAAACGTGCATCAACATAGGAAATACTGAATATTTAAGTAAAACATAGGAAGAAATAATTGTTATTCTAACTTTTCAATAAGTAAGCTAAAGTTCTAGGTACTCAGAGCCTTTGAAAAGCAGGCCAGAAGTGACTTAAATCAGTCTTTCACAAGAAAATTTTCTCACCCTGATTTCTGCATTAGCCACTGGACAGTGCTGCTTCTTTCTCTACCACTGAACATACAAAACTGTGTTTTAGATGGCGACAGAGTCATATGATTTGGATTTTGATTGGATTTTGTTTGTTCTGCTCTAGTAAGCCTCACATAAATCACAGTAAGTCACTAGATGGCACCAAAAGTAGTTAATTTTTATATACTGTAATAAAGCAAAACTGGAAAAACCCCTGCAAAAGCACTGTTGGAAGAGAGCAGGAGGGTGAGAATCTATAGCAGATAGTTGGGCAGCAGATCTTTGGCTTAAATTTCAAATGCTGTAACTTTGCACAAAGCAAAGCAAATACTTTTCAGACATGTATGTAAATCCCATGATTCTTTTAACCTGGGAAGTTAAATCTCTCTCAAAACCAGTGTTTATTGAAAAGAGTAATAAAACACACTGGGTGAAATCCTGGCCCTGTTGATGAGAGATTTTAACGCTGATTTGAATAGGAAGAGGATTTTATTCCCTGGTATTGCTACACTGATTTAAACTCTGCAAACATACAGCCTGATCTGGCATACTTGGAAGCTTTAACCTCAATTTAAATGGTGCAGAATTGGAGATTTGTCAAGTTCCTGTGAATGCAGTAAAACGACACTAGCATGTACCTGCTAATCTGTGTTTGACTCTGTAGTAATCTGTTGCAATTAAAGGTGGTATGTCAGTAGGATCCCACAATGATCACTTAATATTCTATAATTGATAACATTCCACCTTAGGAGGAGCGCTGCTTTACTCAACCATTTTCAATAGGCACATGAGAGCATCAACACATGTAGCAACCTTCCAGAGAAAAGCCTCTTTGACAGAATCCTGAAAAGTTGAAATAATTCCTGTCAATTGCCAAAATATCACAGAGATACACAAAGCATGACATCATTGTCTGGAGTGGGAAAAACAGATGTATCGATAAGTAATTAGCAGCATAGCAATTGTGTGGGAACAGAGCAGGTTCTGACTAACACATCATAACCTTCCCATAAGGCTCAAAACTTCCTTTAAACTGGGCGTTAAAAGAATGTACTTAAAATTTGATTTAAACTCTAGAGACTGAGAAAAGTTACAGTTAATTCTCCCGCACAGATCTTACACCTACTTTCATATTTTTAAGGCTATTATGAGAAAGGCTTTTAATGACAACCTCAATTGTTCATCAGTAAACTCCAGGAGTATCTTGGAAAGATCAAACAGTTTTAAATATTAGCGCAAATTCTAACACTACAGAAACAGACTTCTTGGGCACCTTTAGTGTTACAGTATCATAGCATTTGTATGAGCAGTTGTCTGAATGTGGTTGAAAAGAGTTAAGTGCTTGACGTAACAACATCCATGGAAAAGGATAAACCACTGGTTTGATACCACACAAATAATGCCAGTGGGGCTTTTACAGACAATACCTGATTTGAGGGAAGAATATTTGTCATTCACAGACCTTTTATAAATAAATATAGTGATCATCTGCCTTGTACTGATAGAAAGTAGCTTTTGATGGTTCCTGATTAAGAATTGAAAAGAGCAGATGGGTCATAAAGGTGCTTATAGACAATTAAGTAGTTTTAAACAGGAAGGCACAATATTTTCTGTTTTATTTTTTGCATTTTAGCTTCTCTCAAAGTCAAAAGGCTTGGACTGGAAAAAAATGTTGAGACTCCATGATGTGCAAACCAAGCTAGGAGTTAGCCTAGAGGAAATGCTGACCATTGTCGAGGAGGTATTACATCCTGAGCCTTACAGCACAGAGGAAATTTGTAAATGCCTGGGAATTAGCCTAGAGGAGCTCCGCTCTCAGATCCTTAGTCAAAACACGCAAGATGGTAAGCATATATGAAATGGTGTTTTTTTAGTGTACAATGTGTGTATTGTGTAAAAGTTTATGTATAGATAAGTAGTGCAAGTGGAAATCTTGCTAGAGTACTTCCCCAGAATCTTGGGTGGCAAGTGAGAGAATTGATACCATGATTTTCATTCTAACTTTTAACTTAAAATAGAGCAAAACTTTGATTTTGGTTGATCTGTTTCTAAAAAGTAGCAGTACACTCACTATTTTAGATTAACCTGTGTTGGTTTAGAGTCATCTCTAAATAACCCAGATTGCCTTCTGGGGAAAAGTCTAAACCAGGCTTCCTTTTTAGGCAATAGCTATTACAAACCCAAACGTTTTGGGTGATAACATCATGAACATGAATCCTGTTTGCTCTCCCTTAACTAGTATGAAAGACCAGCATAGATGGAACTTGTGTTTCTGGTTTTGAGTTGGTAAATACATTATCAGTTCATAAAACACGCACTGGGCAGCGAGGCGTCTGGGTCTCTCCTGAGAAAGAAGTTCCTGTCACTATCAATACATTTTTTTCTTTTAGGAAAATGTTGGTGGAGGTGAACAAGTTACTATTTAAAGTATTTCCTATGTATTATTGCTTATGATTATACCATGTAGTCATGAGCACTGGCACACATGTAATGGATCCTGGATGCATTTAGTAGAGTTGCTAATAATACTGAATAGAGCATTTATTAGATAATTAATGTGCATTCATAACAGGTTTCCAGTTGAGATCAGAATCTTTATTTAAGAACTTAAAAGAATCCTTACTTCCTTGTTTCCCTTCTGTGGCCTTAATACTTCTACTGTTTTGAAGGTGAGTTGTATCCCTGCCAGTGCTTCCCAAGACTGCATTCAGGGGCGTATATATTTGACGTATAGAAACCAGTAACATATCTAGGCATACTGATGCTTATATTTAAATAACAATTGTAAAGTTTATATCTTGACCAAGGACCAGGTCCTGAATCTAGAACCTGTTTTGCACCCCAGTGATATCAGAGAGTATGAAACGATCTTATTGTCTAATTATGCTGCCAGAGCATGGAATAGGAAATCTTAATCCAGCTTTTCATCTCCATAGAAAGAGTTATGATAACTCTGGGCTGCGTGTACCTGAGAAATACACTGAGCCACGTGCCTGCACTCTGCAACAGTGAAACTGCAAGGTTGTAAATCTTTTACGCTGTTCCCTTACTCTCCCCTTCATGAAGCAATACAAAACTATTAACTTACAGATGTTTATAACTCCTTATACCTGGTTTATAAAACAAAATTCTACAGTTCTGTAGAATTAAATTGTTTATACAGGTTATTTAATTTTTTTAAAAAAAAAATCTTAAGTCTGGATAAAAAATTTAAACATGAAAGCTATAGAAGAAACTCAAAGGAAATTTTATACTGTGGCTCTGAACAGCATTTGCAGATGTTTGCTGAACAGAATCTCTTAAACTTGCATGACCATGATTTCATTTGATAAGGCCAATTAAAATTGGTTATGCTGAAAGCCTCTTTGCATGTACAATATAAAATTAAATAACAGATTTCTGTAAAGCTATATGCAAAGAAGAAACAAGACAGACACAGAAAGAAGGAATCTAAATCCACTGTTTGTTTTTGTTACACACTAAACAAATTACATTTTATGTTGGCTTTGGAAAACCAGAGGCTGCTTGACAAAAATATTTTTCTTATTTCCCCTCTACTTTCCCACTATATTTTAATGACAATGCCTGGCTTCTTCATGTGAGAGAAACATACCAACAAATAAGTAATCTCTGCAGAGAATTTCAGAATGTTGTTGAACTTTTTTGTTCAACATGAAGAAGGAACCATAACGTTTAGGGTATCTTCCTTCCTTTGTACACGTTTTATCTTTATCAACTTTTCTGATAAAATATTATAATGTTTAGGGTAAATCTTTTGCATGAGAATTACTATTTAGATCATTTACTGGATTCTGAGTTTTCTGTGGCTGAATATAAATTGTCAGTAGTTTTATTTTTTTGTATTATTCAAAGCCCAGTAATAGTTACAAGTAATGTTTTTGTACTGGCATCGTATCTCATGTTTAAGGATCTGAAAGTGCTATGTAAATATTATTTTAAACTTAAGTCTAGCTTCCTCTCCTCCTCCAGTGATGGTACTGTATACTTATACACTTACAAAATTTTATGTAAGGCTGATCGGATCAAAACTCCACATCCCAAAGGAAAATAGCGTGGACAGGCTTTGGGCGAGTCCCAGACCAGGTCTGGAAGCACACAGCCACTTTGCGTCCCTTTTATAGGCAGGTGCTCAAGGATTTCTGCAGTTCCCCACTGTACAGACCACTTGTTCCCCAGGACTGGAGAAGTACAGGTGGTGCATAAAGCCTCTCTAAACTTCTTTGAGTTGGCCAAGGAACAACTACAAATCCTGAGTATAAATTCCCTTTGCAAATGTTTAGACATGGATTGCACTTGTGGCTTCTGAACATCTCTAGAAAAAAAAAATATTTATTACTTTCTAAGGTGCACTGTGCCATAATTTTGGCTTGGACTTGAGTGCTTCACAGAACATTGAGTGTGTGGCGATTGTGGGACATGAAGTATTTATAAACTTCACCACAAAAGGATATTCTGTAAAACAGTGTATTCCTTTAACCATTAAATGTTTTTTTTCCTTCTTAAATAAGATATTTTTAACCCCATTTTTCCTTTTCATGTATAAAATTGTAATCTAATTCTGGCATTTAAACCTGGGAATGAAATCGCCATGGGAGGAGCAGGAACCCGCTTGCTGTGTGGATTTGGCTGTCTAACTGCCCTCCTATTCATCCCCTGGAAAGAGAATTCTAAATCTGTGCTGTAGCTTCAGTGAGTGGTGCTTGAATAGCCTTTCATTCCCACTGCCAAGTAATCTGTATTAATGGTGATCTCAGTGCAAGAACAGTTTCAGCTCTATTTGCACAGAGGCATACGTGAAGGTGGACTCTCAGATGTCCTGTCAGGCTGCTCTGGGATCTGTAACACTTTGTCGTGTGCATTAGTGGAGTGAACAGAAGAACAGAAGTTACCTCCAAACTTGTAGACCTAAGAATGCTTCCTAGCTTGACTAGCCAGAGCAATCTGGGAACGTACCATCCCCTTCCACAAAAACATGGTTTACTTGGGATGAGCCTCAGAAAGGTGGCCACTTCAGCCAGATCCCATACTGCTACCTGGAAGATGCAGGCCTCTGGGGTATGCCACAGGTTAGGCACAGGCACTGAATAGCCTAGGTTAGTTGCAAAAGCCTTGTTAAAGCTAGCATTCCTCTGGAGAAGAAATTACTTTAAACCAGTAGTTACCATAATCTCAAAGCAGGTGTCTGCTGAATGGGTCACTGAATCCAGCAATGACTCGCCCCCTGGTTTATTTTCAGAAAGCCAGATTGCAAACAGTTACTTGAGCAGTCTCAGTAGAGTAACTGTTCCCCACTCTGAGTAGGGGGTTCACAATCTGGCTCAAATTAAAGCCATCTGGCACCATTTTCTTATATACATTCTGAGCCAGAAACCTTCACCCTCATCATGTTCAATCAGCAGGATGCCTAACAGAGAAGGGTACTATTCCACATGAGTAATGGTGGTAGAAACTGTCCCCTACATGATTTTGCACCGGTAAATTTTTCCTGTTGTAAATTTCTAACAGTCCCATCAGCCATGTGTAGCTCATTAATCTACAGTGAAACATATCTTAAGAAGCTGCCAAAGCAACTAGAAAAAAAATACATAGCCTAAAGAGGTTGGTCTTTAGCTAAAGGTCAGATAGAATTGTACAGGAAGCCTCTAAAGAAAGGAATCTGCTGAAGCTGAAGTTGTAACAAATAATATGAGTTGCTGAGAAGCCACAATGTTTAATTATAAAGAAAAAAAAAAAATCCTTGTAAATGGAGTGGATAGGTTTGCACAGTTTTTGTAGAGCTAAAATTAAAAATATAACCATACAGTTGAAAACCCACAGTAAACTTCCCTGTTATATTTAATTAACCCACAGTTGTTTGGGACTAATAGCCCAGGATTTTTGTTTGGTTTTAAGAGATTTTATATGGATTTTGGACAAACTTTCATTAATGTTAGTCTGCTGCAACTTAACAACTTGGAAGGTTCTTGCTGCAGTACAAGCTATTAGGGCACTAGAAAATGTCACCATTTCTTTCAAGTGCATTTGGTGGTTTGTAAATGAATTGAATCTACCTGTTCGTGGATGACATTACAGAAATCCTCTGTAGAGGAGCAAAGGTAGGGTGCAAAGAACCCACAAAGGCTCACCAAGAGTTGCTGAGATTCTCTGAAAAATAGATAAGGACTAGTAATACAAAGCAGTTAACAGTGGAGATTCGCTGTGTCCTCTCTGAAACTTCAGAAACAGTTAGCGAGGCTGTGACCTGGAAGGTGGATTAGCTGCTCCAATAGCAGGCTGAACACAGACGAAATGTGTTAAAAACTTAGTGACAAAACATCACTAAGAGTAGACCTGGGTATAAGATTCCTTGTCCTCCTTAAAGTTTCTTTTGGTCTTATTTTGACATTTCAGGTTTACTTTAATTTCTTCTGATCTGTGCCTGTTTCAATTATTAAGAGGTATTGCTCACCCTCACTTAAGTCTGTAAGAAACTTTCTCTGTGTGCAGCTATACCATACAAAATAAACCGCAATCCCCATACTGTCTTTTCAGAAAGGGACAAAAGAAACCCTGAGATTCTGATTATGCAAGTGTGTCTAGGTCTGAAATCAAACAGTTCATTCCTGCAGTAAGCTATGCAGAACATGGCAGAGAGGAAATGGGTAGTGATTTTTGAAGAACAGTTTTTGAGAGCATGATGCTGGTCAGAGACTAGGTCCTCAGCCGATTCACATCTCCATCAGTCCGAACGGCACTACGTCATTTTAAACAAGCGGAGCACCTGAGCTGGGTATTGCATGGATCCCCTTACAGAAGAAACATTACTTTAGACATGCCCTAGACAATTGCTCTTAGGTCAGCATTGCAGCCAGCTAGTTTCATTGCACCAGAGGTTTTAGGTTCCTCTCCAGTCACCAGAGAAATGGGTACCACAGGGCAATCTGGGTCTTGGGTGGGATAAACAGTTCCCTAACTGGCCCTTTCACTGACAGAAGATAGAGCTGAGGGTACCTGATCTGGAAATAAATTTAAGTAGGAGAAACCAGGCCTTTATAGTTTACAGGATTAGGAAAGTATATTTACATTTTCAGACAGATTAAGTACCTAATTTCCATATGCTGTAAGAGATTTAAGGATCCACATGCTTTTAAGAATCTGACATTAGTTCCCTAAACCCTGCTTTTTTCTCTCCTTTGAGCACCGCAAAGGGCGGGACCATATAACCCAGTCCTGTGCAACACTGGAAGATTTACTGAGAGAGCTTCAGTTTTTCCTCTTTCAGAATGCTCCAGCCCTAGCTCAGATATAAACTAATCAGTCGTGCGCAGTTTGGTTTTGTTTCTTTTAACCGTGACAGAGTATGGCTTAGGAAATCAGTCCTTTTTAATTGTAAAAAATGTGGCCTCATGAAGCACGCAGATTCTGATCTGTTCCTGCACTCGTCTAAAATCACAACCTCTATAGCTCGTTGGCATGTCCTGTTAATTCAGATTTTATTTATGTGGAGCTAATATACAGGCTGTGATGTAGCAAGGAGGTTCCAGTATAGATGTAATTTTTGGAAATGTTGTGTTGCTCTGCTATCTTTTATTATATAGAGATGGTTAGTTGGACTGCCCATCCAAACAGAAGAGTTACAGGAGGGTTTCTCTATTACCAGAGGCATTTGGTGTTGAAAGCCAAAAATATGTGAATCATTTCATTATTTTAGAATAGAACTTACAGAGTACAGAGGTGTTTGCTGTGCTGAAGATAATTTTACCTGAACAGTACACTGCCAGAGAGGAAAAACAAACTATAAAAAAACGGTTTTTAAACACAAATGTAATTTTCTGAAATAAAATGCTGCCCATAACCAACTAATGGTTAACGTAATGATACCAGCCTTTAACCAATACTAATCTGGTAAACGTCCACAAAGGAGTCTGAAAATAACACACAGCCACTCTTTCTCGCTTGAGAACTGCCTGAAAGGGTCGCTTTTGCATCAAGAGAAAGCCAGTGTCAAGGTAGCAGACTCTCCCCTACACTGAGCGACTCCCCTGGGAGCGAGTGCCATCAAGGACGCAGCTCAGATCTTCTGGCTGGCAGCCAGTAGCCGGAGCGCCCATTCTGGTTGCCAATTCATAACATGATGAGCACAACACAACCCCAGAGATTTTTAAGGTAATCTGGCCAGTAGAGCACTGCTCTACCAAAGGGTGGTCTCCGAATCAATCACAGCCTTTGGCAAGTCTGTTGCCTTACAATTGAAACCAGACATGTTTTCAGTTCATTCTTTGGGTTACTACTGTTCAATGGTGATTTACAAGAGAGCGTTAGCTATGGCAATGTCTCACGCAACTTTAGATATTCCCTAAACGAATGCACATTTAGAAATCTCCTTGCTCTAAAACAATGGCTTATAAGAAAAGAATATTTAAAGAGAAACCATCCTTAAAAATAGGCCAAGCTGCTTTTTTTCGAAGTTCAAAAATGCCGAGGCATAGCTCTGCAAAACACACTGCGAGTAACTCTAGCAGCAACAGAATCCAGTGGGGTAAGACACACCTCTAAATGGGAGACCAAAATATGCGCTTCCTGTTTGATACTCTCGAGATGTTGTTTCTGGGAGGCACTCCATTTTCTCATGTCTCTCCTAGTTCAAAATGCCTTCAGAAGGCCTGTTCAAAAGACAGCAACACAGGGTTCCTCAGTAGCAGGCTGTCTTGAATTACAAAATAAATATCACCAGAAGCAATATCTCCAGTAGCAGAACACTGCTATGTTCGATGTTTCTCTATCATTTTAGACTACTTGTGTGTCTCTCAGCACTGTATTTTCAGCATTTACAGTTGTGATTTACACTTACTCTGGAGAAATAAAAAAGGGATTATACAGATGCTGATCAAGTTTAGTCTGTAAGGGTTGCAATCTGGAATATACATACGAGAGACTTAATACTGGACACAATTTTATTTCCCGTCTTTCAAGGAAGATTTCTACATATACTTGCAAATGGAGATTGCTGCAATCATCAGAAGTGGTCTTCATGGAACAGCCAAGTGGGAACTCCATGTGCCTGGGTCAGATATTGAGTTCTGTTTTGCATACAGGGCTTGTCTCTCTTCTCCTTTTACCTCTATTTGAGGTAAATCAGCCATTTTAGAAAGCAAGAGAGACCAGAAGCTGAAATGAGGAGAGACACCTTGCTCTAAAGGAGAATTTACATGTAAAAAGAAAGGGAGGGATGTTCTGAGGCGCTCTAACAAGAGTGTGCTTGAGTTGTGATGAAGTGGGGAAACATGCTGCAGTAGGCGCTCCACATAAAGTCCACTTAGCTAATACTTACCACCCAAATAGCTCAGGGAAACCCATTTAATCAGAAACTAAATTATGTCATGCATGTTTCTGCTGAACAATACTTCCTCAACAGCAGCCATGGTATTCAAGCAAACAGAACTGTATTGGGAGAGAAAAACAATGAACTACAAGTACAAGCTTGGGAGTGGCAGATCAATTCTCAGATACTAGTTGCAAAGCAAATCCTCCTGTAAGTAGGAGTAGCCTGAGGAGCCTTTAACCACAGCCATCTCCTTCCTTTTTATCCCCCACTGTACAGGTTTGGTCAAGGCCTCCATCCCAGTGGCCATGCAAGTTTGGGCACCCCCCCACTCCTTCCCAGAGAACTGCCTTGTCATGGCACAACAGAAGAATTGTAGCCCAAATCCTTGCGCTAGCCTTTGCTCTTAGTAGGTCAGTCCCAAGCAGTACCTGTCTGGGGCTCAACGTCTCTTCACATCGCACAGGCAGCACTGACACTCTGGCTGGTAACACACACCAAAAATAAACCCTGAAAGCACCTGTGCTCTTCACTGTACCTCTAATCTAATATTATATACAGGCAGGGTGAGCCTGCATAATTCTGAAAATATTTGAGAAGGCTTCCTTACCTATGCACCAGAAAATACAGATAATATAATTTTTGTTAATCTCTGTTTAAAAAAAACAAACCAAAACCCCACCACCAAAACCAACCAAACAAAAAGGAGTGGTTGGTGGTCTTTTGTGGTTTGGTGGTGGTTTTTTTTTTTTCAAGAAAAGGTCCACCTGCACAGTTAGGTAGTTGGTGCAGATTTGGGCTGGAACAGTCACACACAAGGCCCCGGACCAGCAGGTGCTGGCCGACTGCAGGCTGCAGGGCACTGGGTACCTTTCTGGTGCTCACATGGCTCAGTTTTGCTGGAACCTGAAAACCCGAAAGCTTTAGGTGAATGCCCTAATGCGTGTTGCTGCTAACTCTTGAACTTGTGGCTTGCCTGTGCAGAGTGAAAGGAGAGACTGGGTCTGTTCAGTGACACAGCAAAGAACCAGAGAATGTGCATGAAGTTATCAACAAATGCGTACATTGTATTTTGATCAATTCTAAGTACTGTTTTATTGGGGCTTTTAGAGAAGATATAGGTGAGCTTTTGCAGAAGACTTTTAGCCTAGAGAGTTCCAATATAAAATCTGAATTACTAAAAAAAGTATATATATAATTCCACTATATTTTTTTGTTTCCTTTTGCAGTGAATATTAATGGATAACTGTAGCACTTCATATTTTCATTTTGTATAGTTTCCACCTTTAAGTTATACCAGCGTGCAAAGCATGTGTACAGCGAAGCTGCCAGAGTGCTGGAATTTCAGAAGATATGCAATGAAGCACCTGCCAATGCAATCCAGCTGCTGGGGGAATTAATGAACCAGAGCTATATCAGCTGCAAGGAAATGTATGAATGCAGCTGTCCCGAACTGGATCGCCTGGTAGATGTCTGCCTGTAAGTTTTGACCACAAGGAAGAGTAATCGCCTGTTGAGAATATTGCTTGAATTGATGAGAAAATATGACATCGTTGGCTATTGCAATTTTAAAATGAAAGTATTCTTGTCTCTTATTACAAAATTAATCTCCTGCAGGGACATTACATGGTCAATTGTTTCCCTGCTGACATCTGTGTAAGAGTTTCAGATGAAAGCTGCAGTTTATGGCTTTATTACAGACTTTGCTTTTGGACTGACTCATCCTCACAAGTGTTACGTTAGACTGTTGGCTATTCTTTTTTTAAGTTGTAGAAGAAGTTGTAACTGGTTTTCTTAAAACATCATTTTAGTTGTTCAGTTTGATACATTTTGTATCTTTCTGAACCATTTTGGAACTTGCCACTATAGAAATTCCATTTTCATAGCTCTGCTACAGTGGATGATGAGATCTGGTATAACCATGCGTTAATACAGAAAGTAAAACTGAATATTTAGTACTCGCATTCTACATAGTATTTCACTGGTACCACAGGGCCAGCATGAAAGGGCGTACACATATCAGTCCCTCTTCATTTCCTTTTTTCTGGTACATTTATGGGACAGACCTCTTAGGCTAACTTTGTTCTGAATTCAGTGCCTATAGAAGGAATTCAGTGGTTGGTGACCATTTTAGCAGTGCCCTGGGAGAATAAGCAGCTGCCTACCCAAGCTTTCCCACCACTACTCCATCCCTGCCTCTACCCCAGCCACCTTCTCCCAGCTGCTTCCCTCATCCACTTCATCATGGCTCCTGGTGATGCCACCTTCATCCTTATGCTCATCTGTTACGGTTCCTACTTCTCATCAGAGAAGGGTGGGCTTAGTTTGGGAAACACTGCCCTGAGCCAGAGCGTTACTGCCCTGCCAGAAGGGAAATGTAGGGTGCCATGTTTGCAGACCTGAGGTCAAGAAATGTTGTTTCACTGTCTTTTAGAAGCAAGTACTCTATAAAAGTATCCCATCCTCTCTCTCTCTTTCAGTCTTGAAGAAAACAGAAACTTTCAATTTGAAGCTAAAAAAGAAAAAAAGAGCACCTTATCACCTAAAAACGAAAGTTACAAAAATATTTCTTTACCAGCAGCTGGCTTTTTTTTTTTTTTTTTTTAAACTAAGATCTTAGTCTGGCTTATAATGAAAATATGAATTTTACAAACATGCAATTTGCCATATGCTTTCTTACTTCTATACTCATATGAAGTTGTAATAGCCATTTACCGGGTCTGTAAATTGATAGAGTACGATACAGATGGTTATTTAGGTTAGTCTGATTTCTTTTGCAGACAAGATGAAATGGCCTCTGAGCCAGAAAACTACAAACTTAAAAACTGAACAGAAGACTTTTGGACATTCACAGATTGTTTTGCATATGGGATACACATGCTGTTTTGTGATAAAACACAGCGAAGCCCCGATAGCCATTGGACAGTCTGATAGTAATTTAGCAATACAATTTTTGTTCCTTCTCTTGGGAGCCAATCCAGTACGTAACTCACAGGCTATGTTCAGTTTATTGTATCACGCAATGATCACATAATAGAATAAGCTGCGACAGTCACTCGGTTAGCAAGGCAGTTGTCCCAGCTGCTCAAAGGGAACTGATGATCCATGTGCAAGAAGGGAGAACTGTCTCCAAGAGTCAGCTGAAGACAAAAAATATCCTCTACTGAATTATCAAAACTCTTGGGCTACAGGGCCTTGATCTAGTGCAAGGTATCAGTGCTGCCTGTTCTGAGGCACCATTGACAGAGGAGAAGCCTTAAAACTTAAACATCTGCATTATTTTTAGGTACAGTAACTACCCCACGCTGATGCCTCAGTCAGTAGCAGGCAATGACTGAACTTTGCAGAAGTGACTTGCCATTTTAAGTGTCCTCGATTCAGGTACCCAGCCTGAATCCTACTGAAAGGGCCTGTTCTCAGAAAGGCTGAGAGAAAACTACCCTGTTTCACATAGGGGAAAGCAAGTGGGTATAAACTGGTAAGATCAGCACTGCAGTGTGGAGTTACCTGCACTACGTTTAAGTAAGCTAGCATGGATGCTAGCAACAGGCTATTGCAGCACAATGCTCAGCATGGGGATGGAAAGTCTCTGTTTCTCATTTGTGCTGAGCTCTGTGCTTTCACAGCTAGACAGCTGCTGCTCTCGGAGCTAGCTTGGGTATCGTGACACTGACTTGCAGGCAGTAGCACAGACACAGCCGCAGAACCCAAAGGAAAGGAGTACGCAGTTAGGGGTTTACTAAATTAAATTAAAATTAATCAGAGCATTTCAGTTCCAGGGACCAAAATATAAATAGCGAAGGAAAAAAGTGATGCGTGTGCCCATGTTACATCAGATTTCTAGCTTACCAGCAGAAGAGCCCACAGCTCTTATGATGAGTGTAGCTGAGCACCACAGTGGAGTGTCATTCGTGTGAAACAATTCCTAACTGATATATTAAAATTATTTAATTGGGGGGGAGGGGGGTAATACGTTCATTGCACAGAAACAAGTAAATTGTTCATTATTTTTTACAGTGTCATCCCATCAAGAGTATTTCCTAAGAAATACATCTCTCTTCTTTAGAAGTTTGATATTCTTTAATGTTCCTCTGATTCTGTGATTAGATTTCTAAAAGTGTATAGCAACTTTTCTCAAGTTGTACATTAAAAAACTAAGGGACATAAAATCACTAGTCACTCTAGGAAAACTGGGCTGATGTGATTATAGAAATGGCCAGGAACTACATAAATTACATTCTTAACTTACAACGATATACAGCTGCCCTGTAACTTTAAAAAGCCTTTCCAAAAATACATTCCACAGAATTGCCCGAGTCTACTGCTGCTCTCTCCTTACAAGGTTTAAACTGTGAAGAATAATCTGCATATCCAGATGTTTTCTGTTTTGCCTAGATCTTTATGTTTTACTGTACAACCTCTGCCAAGAAAGAAAGGGATCCATACTTGCTGTGGTTTGTAGTGCTGAAAACTCGTAACCACTAGTTGGTCAGTTGTTTTTTTTTCTTCTTGCAAAGACAGCAGACTTGCACTTTCTCTACCCTATCTCATGCTGTTAATTGCTGTTTTACCTGTTAGTCTTTTAAAGGAAGTAACACAGAGGATTTACTAAACAAAACAATTGGATCTGAGCTCCTGAATTCGTTAAGTACTTTTGAAAATCTCTCAGAATCCTCGAGTGCTGCAAATAACTTTCTTTCATTCCCTTACTCTCCATCCTGTAGTGGTATAAATCCTGGTAAGTTTTGTGTTCCCAGCCATGCCCCTTACAGCTGAAGATAGCTGAACCTTCTCTGATCACTTTTAAATGATACAATTTTTACATGACATCCAGCTGCATTGTGGTAGCTGAGACCACTCTGCATTTTATCAAAACTCTTTATCACTGATGATTTTCCTAAAGCTGCAAAGCCTAGGGTCACGGCACAATTTGGAAAGTCAGCAAAACAAACAAAAAATCATCCTACAAAAAGAAGTTTGCAGCTCTTTCAGAGCCAGAAAGGCTTAAAGACGCTATTCAAATGCACACTAAGCTACAAAACAGAATAATACCCACTCCCCCATTTATATATTTAAATCTCATCATGTTAACTCCATGCTTTCCGAATACCTGGTTCATAATTTTGAGTACTTGGAATTAACAATATTGCTCTGATTTTTTCACGTCTTACAGCACAATTATTTTTAAAATGAGGTACTTCAGTGTCTTACTTTTGCTTCCATATACCAAACTATGGGACTTCCGTTTTTATTCTTCTTTCCTTTGCTGCAGCACTCATAGTTTTACTCTCATTAGATAATTCTCATTTTATCCAGTGAATACTGGAACAAGATACATAAACTCTTGAAGAAGCAAAGGCCAGAACCCGGGACTGGGAGCTGCGTACCCCCAGCACTGGATGGCCGATATGTTCTCTTTCTTGTGGGCTCCATCCCTCCCTCTATTATTCCTCCTCATGGAGTCTCTCCCTCCCACTTGTCCTCCTCTTCGTAAACGCACAATGTAGATGCCAGTGCGCAAGACAAGAGCGTCTGGCTACGGATCCCACTTCACCAGAGGAGCCTAGCTCAGGGCTGAACTGATTAAGACTTGAAAAAGACAGTTTCAGACCTGTCCCAAAGTCAACTTTCTCGTGTTTGACCTAGACACCTCCCATGCACCGCAGCTCCGGTAGAGGCAGAATTAGGTGTTCGCTTCTGAATTCTTGTAATACCGGGCACCTAGTTTTCAGGTGTTACAGCACTGCCCATCAAAACGTCAAGTTCCTCAGCGTTAAGCCTGAAGTGTCTGATCATATCACCACGTTTGAAACTGTTAGCCACAGTATTTTGAAACACAGTGACTTCAGCTCTGAAACAGGCATATTTTCTGTCTACATTATGCTTTATTTCAACTAAGTATTTGAAAATGACTCAGTAAAAATGAGGCATGAGCATGACCACAGAGAATTATGAAATCAGTAAAAGGTTCAGAACAATTCTGAAGGGATTTCAGTTGCCTACCGAAATAAAAGCCAGACAACATCTGAAATACAAAGTTCTGACTGAGGTAACAGACCAAATGAGTACAGACAGTTGATTTAGCAGAATTTGAAAAGCAGATTGGGCCTTACGAAGTCGGTGGGAATTTCCCTACTGATTGCAACTGAGACTGGATTGGATCCTGCTCATTTTAGGAGGTTGCCCCATGGACCAGAAACGTCAAAAATTGCATCAGAGTATGAGTGGCTTACAGGAATAATAAGTAAAATAAAACACCAACAGGAAATAAAGAATGAACATAAAATCGGGTCAATATGAAGGGTGGCACCAGACAGACACACTGAAGAAAGTGTTTCTGTTCAAGAGATGTAAGCATGTTTAGAATCAAACACATATGTAAGTACTTGCTTGAAATATGACCTAAACCTCTACTAACCCAGCAGTATACCAGAGTCATTTAACATAAAATGCACATATGAAAAATTACCACAGCCTACTCGGAATGAGCTGTCATTTTCCAATCCGTTATTCACATGATGCCATCTCTCCCTCAAACACCTTCTAGGACTGGTAAATCTCTCTGTGCATGGGTATTGGAAACATACCAAGAATGTTTGTTTGCAAGTCAGATTAGATCTTTCACGAGAATAAGATTTCAAATGAGTTTTCTAAATCATCCTGTTCTGACCTGGTTAGAAAAGCCCAAAAGAAATCTATTATGTGGTATTTTCCTACTTTTTCTGAATCTAAGTTCGGGAACACAGGTAAGCAAACTAATGAAAATAATTCTACTAAATTCTAATGAGATGGTCCCCAAATCTTGCAGAGTAATGGCATGGGATTTGCTGTAGGACGTTTCTAGCAGGCCAGTGTCTTGAGGCTGGGAATGGTTTATATTTTGGATGTTATTTATTTGTCATTGTTCTTTCTATTCACCCTCCTTATTAAGAGCATTTTTTTCTTTGGGGACTAAATGATTACTTTACCTCTACTGCTGTACATCTGTTATGTTCAAGAGGTTCCTCGAAGAGAGATACGCAACCCTGTCCATTTCACATAAGCAGCTCTTGGAGTGCAGTGACTCTGGATGGCTTTTTATGAGTTTCTAAAGTCTCCTTTTCTTGACTGGCAATGCTCAGCAGTCCTGCAGAAGCCTGTGAATCTTCAGCATGTTTTAGATCTGTCCTGGAAGAATAGAGCTATTTGTCTTTGCCACATTAGAAAATGGCTTGCATGCCTACATCCTGTGCAATTAGTTTATGAAGCCTCTTTTGTTATTTTTGTCATGTATTTCTGTTTTCACTTCTGATGTCTTATGAATGTTGCTAACACAATTCCTTTCTTCTCCTGCTTTCTTCATCTCAGCTGTACTGTGATCCTAAAAACAGCTGATGCCGAAGCCTTAGGAAAGAGGGTGACTTTTAGAATGGACAGAAATGACTATATTGCAGTTCAAAGCATCAGAGGTTTTTTGGTCCAAAATGGTAACTGCACATTGCTGTAATGTCGCATACAAGCAAGTGAACTCAGAAAAATCAGATGACATAGATGCGTTTCGAGTAAAGTGTTTGCTAGTTTTCTATAGGAATTTTATATATGACAAATTACCCCTTTTTGGTTTATTTTACATTATTTTTTTCTGTTACTTTGTTTTAGGCAATTTGGGGCCATCGGGTCACGTCTGACTGGAGCTGGATGGGGTGGCTGCACTGTGTCAATGGTGCCTACTGACAAGCTGAATACTTTCCTAAAAAATGTAAAAAAAGCTTATTACCAAACTGATGTCCAAAGGTTAGCACTGGAGAATAACAGCCTGTTTGCTACCAAACCTGGAAGAGGAGCTTTGGTTTTTGTTGAGGCCTAAAGAACGTAAAAAATTTTGAAGAAACTATCTAGGCCGTTTAGAACTGGCAGCACTTCCCATGCCACAGCAAATGAATGCCTTCGCTGTTTTTTATTGTAATGAGCATTTGCCATTATCAAAATATATTTCTGAAGAAGTGATTAAAAGAAAACTCTTTGATTACAAAATTTTTTTTCTTACTAAAAAATATCTTTCACTGTAAACTTTGATTTACAAAACCTATCAACAGGGAAAACTGAAATCAAAATAAAGATGATACTTTGTTACAGTGGATCTCTCCTCTTTTCCATTTACTGTCAGAAAAGCAAGACCAGGTGGAGCAATGAGCTGGTTCCTTGCAGGGTAGGAGCCCTGCAGCGTCTGCAGAGCTGTTGAGTGCTTGCACTCTTCAGGTGCTGGATATTCTTTGGTTTAGAGTGTCTGGAGAAACAGGAGATTAAACTGAAGCATTCAAAAAATTGGAAGGAACGTGCTAAATATTAGAAGTTTTGTACTCTCCTCAAATAGGATTATTACTGTTGTAATTAATGATAATATTGGAGGAGCACCTGCAGGCCAAGTAAAATATCGGGAATACATTAGGTTAAGCAGGAAAACTTTCTTCCTAGCTATGTTTCTTATGTATCCTTGTGCAAGGGTGACTTGTTATGAAAGTTTCAACAAAAATGAGCGCTATCCATGAGCTGTACAATATGAGAACATACTCTCCTAAGTGAATAAATAAATAGCAAAGCAGAGTTTAGGTTTGAGTTATCCAGACACTGTATTCTAATTGTTGAGTCGTAGCTGTGCTTCTACAAGGTAGAGCATTTGCAGTTTTATGCAAAACTATTTCCAAGGATTAATTATCAGCCATTGACCATGTAAAAAAGCAGTTAAAATCCATAAGGAATAATTAAGGAGATCATTCACTCCGTTGTACTAAGCAAAAGTAAACGTCATTGACAGATTATTGACAAACTCCTGTCTCGCTCCCACTTTACGCTCCTGACGCTCTCAAGGTTGTAACTGCACCGCACTGAGGTACAGCGCCCGCTCAGTCAGAGAAACGGCTGTGTGTGCCGAGAGGTGTCTGTGCATCAAGGTACCCCAAAGGTGTCCTAATCCTGCTCCCAAGCGGAAAATGGGGTTCCTGTGCCCTCTCTCTCACAGCACACAAACTTCCAGTTCTCCAACATGTACGGTGAAAACTGAAGAGCAGCTTTGCTAGGGTCATAACCCGTGCAGCCATAAAAGATATGGCAGGGTTTGTCCCTGTGCACGTTTTTGTGATGCTAAGCACAAGTTAACATCCAGAAGTCTGCATCAGATTAGAGAGACCTCAGAAGAGCTCCGCTGTACATTACCCGTGGTAATTCAGGCCAAAACTAAATTCTTAGAGGCTACTAATTCTGTGAGAGGACTCTGCCAAATTTGAACACAGCAGATGAACAACAGCCAATGTAAACTGCCAGATCTTTTCAGGAACCTCAGAGGGGACATACAAGGGTAATATTATCACTAGAGAAGATTTCTGTTTTCTGATAACCAGGAAAAGTGGAACAGAGAGTGCTGTAAATCAAATCAAGTACTTGAGAGAGGAAAAGGCTGGGGTCTGGGCATGATGGGGAGAGATGAAAAGACAGGATTTGGATGGAGGACAGGTAAGAGGATGCACTGGAGAAGGGGGAGGCAAGGGATACAGGAGACAGTTAAGCAAGAGGCAGAATTATAGAAAGGTTAAATCTCAAGACATGCGCTATCACTATGGAAATGGAGTATCTTGTGACCCATTTGCAATGTACAGCAGATCTGCTGTGCATTCAACTACACCTATAAACACAGGACTCCAAAAATCAAACAACAGGTAAATATCTTCAAGAATCTCCAAAACAACCTTAGAGATTTTAAAGAAAATAACACCATGGCTTTGTTACCAACTGCCTTATTAAATATAATCCTTGGTTTAAATCAGTGAGTTCCTGTTTATTATCCTGTCATAAAAATGGAGTACAGCACAGTGCATACCAAGCCTTTCATTAATGTATTTGCATTGAACTTTAGTTCAGCTGGATTCATGGAAGCGCTTATCAGTGTGTGAGCAGACTAAAGGGGTTGTTTTTCTTCTTTTTAAGTTGAGCCTGACACAAAAAGTCATGGAATCTTCAAAAAAACCACACAGGCTGCAGTATATTTCAAAATTTTTCTGTCAATGAATCTTATAAGTTATATTCTCATAAACAAACAAAAAAAAAAGCAGAAACCTGGCACAGTATAAAAATAAAACCAAATGTTCTAAACTTCTGATTAGTTTCTTTCCTTTCTTATTGCTTCAACGTCTTTCCCATGCTTTTGTTGAAATCCACAAATAAAAATCAGGATATAACTTCCATTGAAAGACCGATGATGTGCAAACTATATACATAAAAATGGCAATCAGGCATTTTTATTTACCGGCCACCAATAGGAAGTAAAAATTTCTTTTTAAAAAAGAATTTGAATGAGTGTGTTTTGGTGGGGTTTTGTTTGCTGTTTAAATCTTTGAAGACATTTTTTCTACGTACTAGTAAACCCCCATGATAATCAGAGCATGAGACTGATACACCAACAATGCGTAAGGTAAGCAAGCAAGGATATCAGTAGGATTTCTAACGAGAGCAAGGAGATTGTGATTTGGATGAAAATTTCTGTGAATAAAGTAGCAACTTCTAAGCATATTTCCTAAGCAATTCTTTCCAGATCTGTATTTTTAATAGCTTTTTCTGACTATGTTTTCAAAATCTCTTCTGTAGCAAAACAATGCTAATTGGTGTATATATACACACACACACGTATATGTATATTTGGAAGATTAACAAAGTTAAATGTCAGGATATATGTAGAGGTGATGCATCGCATTAGCACCAGCTATGATTATCAGTGGAGTGTGTTTTCATCTTATTACAATGTCTGGCTGCAATTCATTCAATCATAAGTTTAATCTTACTGTGCAGTAAATGGGTTCTAAACCTTTCAAAAAAGGATTTGGAATGGAGACGCTGCTAGACATCTAAGTGCAGCAACATTGCCTGGTGCCGTATTAATACTGTGTATTACCTTAATCCCATTGACATGTACATCATCACTGTATTGGCTGCGTATCTTGTATGTAGGAGCACGCTTATGCTCCGAAATAGAATGAGAGTACTTTCACCATTCACTTGATGGGAAGGGATCGTGACAGTGTCTTTGACATTTGCTCTTTTGGACACAGGACACACGCACAGAGACGTGTATATATGGCAACCTAGTATAAAGCAATTACTTACATAACATCTTTGGGAATATTGGTTTCTAGTTAATATGATCTGAATGCCAACTTTTATTTTAGTAACTGCTGTGTACTTACTCAGTATCCTCTCTGAGTCCATGTGTCTCTTTAATAACATCTTGATATTTTGGAGCAACTGCTGCGCTACAGTTTAAGTCAAATGAAAGATTTGCATTTTCAGCTAACTGCAAAGTTCATTTGTGTGCTAAATCCCCCTCAGATATAATTAAACCAAGATACACCCAAAACAACATTCACAAGAGTTACCCTCTTCTAAAAAAAAAAAAAGATACTTCGCAAATCATAGCTGTTACAGCCAGGACGGAAGTAGTGCTTTCTGATTCTTGTTATTACATGCTACACCAAGAAAAATCAACTCTATTAAAGGACTTACACTGCGAAGTTACAATAGCATGAAGACCAGACTGGTAAGGCTTAACATCACGATACCTGTACATCATATGGCACATTAAATTAGATTTTACATGCTAATTTTGAGATGGAAGGCTAGGTACCGATAAGAGACCAGTTCACAATGCAGAAAGGAGTACAATGAGGAATGCAAAACAGCAACTAAAAATTGCTCCCTTTGCTATCGCTGCGTTTCACAAGATTTTCCCAGCACACAGAGGATTGGCAGAGAAAGCACTGCCCAGCGTTACTGCTGTCACGACTGCCCCACCTCAGCTGTTCTAGCGTAGCCAGCTTTCTGAGATTCAATATCCCATAAAATAGAGACAAAGACAAAAGATTAATTCTGTTCTTGAACTTCTCTCTTACACTCAGGCCTCTGCTTTTGGCCTGGTATCAAAAGTAATTAACTACGAGATTCTGCAAGATGCCACGTCACAGCCTCCAATAACAGCACTGTGTTTACTAGGAGACAGAACCTGCCACGGTGCTGGTGGCGGGTAGTCCATAACCTCCTCTGTGATCTCTCACTTCAATAGGACTGCAATACTCAGCCTAACTAATTACCAATTAATGAATCAGTCTAACTAATAACACTAATTACTCAGTTGAGCTGTAATTGATATATTGGGAACTGCTGTTTTCTGGCCAGATCTTTTTTCCTCAGGTCACCTATGATTGTTTTACCAGTAAAACCTGCAGATGAACATTTTCTGGAGCCTCTGAAGTCTCCGCAGATGTGGTCAGAGTTCAGCAGAACATGGATTTGCCCCAGCCCATGCTCCCTAGCAAACATTTCACTCAGTGGGATAACACATAACGAGAGCTTGCCCAAATCTCACAGGTAATTAAGGCACTCATGCCAAATTCTTCATATGTGTAAGACTTACCAAGGGAAAATCTGTAGAGGAGTAAAAAAAGTTGAAGCTAATCAGGTAAAAAGCTTTCAGAATTAATTGAACAGTAAAACATTTGAGATTGATTTCCAGTAGCAGTGGTTCCTGCAGAAGCAACAAACTGGGTGAGGATTTATACAAAAGCCTTTGGTATAGTTACTGGATTTTAAGTCTAATGCATTTTGAGAATTTCTATTGTCTCCTAAGCACTACTTTGTTGGCCAAAATGACACATTAATATTAAAAGGGAAAAAAAAAACAACCCTCCTCTCCCACAAAAGCATGCCTTTCTGCACTTGGCACACAAGGCTCAAATAACTCAATAAAGATTAGATGTACTTCAAACTGAAACACACTAGTGCCCAAGCAGCTGTCTTCCTTCCAGCCAAGCTGTGTGTGATTTGGGGTAGGCATAAAAATACATTCTATTAGCCAATGATCAAGCCAGATGTGTGTTTTTTCCTTTTTTAAATCCAAATTAATTTTTCAAGGGACACTGAAGCAGGTTTGTATGAAACTCTTAC